ACGAATTTGATGGTGTTTTGACACTTTTTTAAATGGATTTATTCGCCTTAAGTTTTCATGCAAGACATTTTATCTCACGTGATAAGTTTTCTTCGGAGTGCCATTTTGCAAAACGAATTGGGCGAGTGTGTTTGGATCATCGAAATCATTCGAATGAGAACACTCATGCCCAATGGGTTTGTGAAGAAGTTTGATTTAAAACTTCATATACATACACAACATCATTGTTATATGATTAAACAAGTCTTCCACTGCATGAAACTATCCATACACAGCTTAAATTTACTTCATTTAATTGCACAAAGTTATAAAGTGACCCCAACTGAATTTTCATAAACATCACAAATCAACCATCTAAGAGCCTTAAATAAGGCTTTCACTTCGTTAATCGACTTCATTAATCAAGCCATGCAGAGTTAGTCACCCGAAAATCTTTTTGCATTAATTCTATTTTTCCCTAATTAAAGTAAACCTAAGGGCCTATTTGGGATCATTTTTTTTTTGTTTTTTGTTTTTGAAAATAAATAACAAATAGAAAAACATTGTTTATTTGTCCATTTTCATTTATTTTTAAGCACAAATAGGTCGTTTTCAGAACACAGAAAACATGTGAAACGTGTTTTTTGTGTTTTTAAAACAGCAAAAATATGTTGAGCCCTAAATCCGAGCAAATCCCAATCCTCTTCCCTTCGCTGCTTCGTTCGGGCATCACTTAATAAAATACTTAATTAAAGTAATAATCATAATTAAATCATTCATTATTTAAATGAATTTAATTAACTCATAATTACTTTGTTTAATAATAAATCTACTTAATTAACTTAATAATTAATCAGTTAAACCCATAATAAGTCAAATAAAACATTAATCATTTAATTAAGTTACTAATAATAAAATTAAAACCTTAAATTATTTAAACATATAATTAAATAAAACAATAAACAACTTAATTAAAATACTAACATTAATTAATTAAATGGAACCTAAATGATTTTAATTAGCTCATAATTACTCAATTTAATAATAAATCTACTTAATTAACTTAATAAACTTAACTACTTAATTAACTTAATAATTAATCAATTAAACCCATAATAATTCAAATAAAACATTAATCATTTAATTAAGTTACTAATAATAAAATTAAAACCTTAAATTATTTAAACATATTAGTAAATATATAAACATTTAAATAAAGCAGCTTAGATAAAATATTTAACTAATGAATTAATTAATAATTTAATTAAATCAATAGTCATCTAATTGAATCGTTAATTATTTAAATGGAACCTAAAAGAATTTAATTAATTCTTAATTACACTATTAAACAATAAAACTACTTAATTAATTTAATAATTAATCAATTAATCCCATAATAATTCAAATAAAATATTAATCATTTAATTAAGTTAATAATAATAAAATTAAAACCTTATATTATTTAAACAAATGATTATATATATAAATAACTAAATAAAATATTAAAAACTTTAATTAAAATACTAATTAATGAATTAATTAAATATTTACTTAAATTAATTGAAATTTTGATTGATCCATAAAATTCACTAAAAATTAACATTTAAATAATTTGTTTAATAAACAAAATAATTAATTAGTTAATTTCAATGATCACCAAGAAATTAGTTAACATGTTAGTAGTTAAATAATTAAATTAATTAACATATTAAAATTTTTTAATTAAAAAATTTTCAATTAATTGGCATGTTAGTAGTTATTAATTAAATAACTTCAATCAATTAACATATTAATAGTTATTTCAATTTAATTAATTTTTTTAAAAGTATGATTTCCTTTAAGAAAAATATAAAATATCCAACTAAACATGTTTTATATTTTTATTTTTAATATATATAAAAACTCATTTTCTAAAAATAAAAAACATAAAATAAAACAAAAAACACTAAACAGAGTGACAACAAAAATAAAAAAATAGAAAACAAAAAGTGATCCCAAATAAGACCTAAATTTTCATAAACATTGCAGATAAGCATTAATTAAGAATTTCACTTCAAGAAAGTGCACATACACAACAAAATATAATAAATTCAGTAATAGTGCAACATACTTGTGGAAAAACCTAATTTAAATCAATATTGTTATATTCTTGAGCAATACTTTTACTTGAGTGGTCACATCACACATAAGTAATTAAATGACAATTTTATGCATAAATTCAACATTTTTGTTAAGAACTCAAACCTAAAACTTCATATACATTTCACATCACAATTTTTAGAGGATTAAATGAGGCTTCCACTAAAGGGACATGAACTGAATTTTCTTAAACATCACAAATCAACAATCTGAGGGACTTAAATATGGTTTTCACTTTATCAATCAAATCATACACAACTAGTCACCCAAAATTTTTTTGCATTAATCCACTTTTTTTCTTAATTAAAGTATACCTAAACTTTCATAAACATCACAAATTAGCATTAGTTAAGCATTAATAAGAATTTCACTTCAGAAAAGTGCCCACACACAACAACAAAATACGATAAATTTAGCAATATTGCAACATATTTATTGAGAAACCTAATTGAAAATTTCATAATTATCACCAATCAATGTTGCTATAGTCTTAAGAAATTCTTTTACTTAAGTGGTCACACCACACACAAGTAATTACATAACAATTTTATGCATAAATTCAACATTTTTGTTAATGACTTTGACCTAAACCTTCATATGCATGTCATACCACCATTCTTAGAGGCTTAAATAAGGCCTCCACTTCAAGAAACTATCCATACACAACATGTAAAATAAATTTTTTATCATTTAATGACACAAATTTCTGAAGAAAACCAAAATGACTTTTTATAAACATCACAAAATAAGGGTTTCACTTCATTAATCTGACCATACACTGAAAGTTACACGATAAATTTTTGCATTAATTGAAATTTTTTTCAAAATAAATGCCACTTAAAACTTTATAAACTTCTATGATAAGCAAGGTTAGGCCCTTAATTCAAAATCACTTTAGAAAACTATCCATACACAACAACAAAATAGAATAAATTCAGCACTTGGTGGACAATTTTTTGGGAAAACTATCCTAATTTAAATTTTCATAAATCTCACCAATCACTAATCATAGAGTCTTAAATCAGAATTATACTTTAGTAATGATGCTATACACAACAGATTAAATGGCAAATTTATACATAAATCAAAATTTTGTCCGAAGATGTCTTACCTAAAACTTCATATACATAACACATCATCATTGTTAGAGAGTTAAATATGCCTCTACTTTAGGAAAACTATCCACACACAACATCTAAAATGATATTTTTTTAATTAATTACTTAAATTTCTGAATAAACTTTCATGAACATCACAAATCAGTATATAAGGATTTCATTTCATTAATCAACTATTCAAACCAAGTTACATAACAATTTTTGCATTAATTCAATTTTTTTTTCTAAATAAAGCTCACCTAAAGCTTCATTAACATCACATATAAGCATCGGTACAACTTTCAAGAAGAATTTCACTTGAGAAAACTGTCTATACGCATCAATAAAATAGAGTAAATTCAGCACTAGTGCAACATATTCATGGAGAAACCTAATTTAAAATTTCATAATTATCATTAAACAAATTTGTTAGTCTTAAACAAGACTTTTAATTCATTAATCACACCATTCATAGCTAATTAAATGACAAAGTTGCACATAAATTCCAAATTTTTAGAAGAAGTCTGCCCCAAGACTTCATATACACAAGGTATTTCTAAATAATTAAATGTACAATATTGATCGGCAATACAAGTGGTATCTTTGGGAAACTTTGGCATGCTGAAGTAAACTGACCTGAAATTCCTTCGTGTCTTGCACCCCTACCAAGTCGCGGAAGTGACTGCTTGGAAGAGACGTGAGATAAAGAACCGTAGCGCAGGCAAAATGCATCATAGCATGAAATAGACGGAGATGCAGAAAAAAATTTCCCTAAAACCCTAGCTCAAATAAGGACGTGGTAAACAAAGGGAGAGGGAGTAGCAGAAACTCTTCGCTTCCTTTGCCAAAACCCTAGCTCGACAAAGACATTTCAGGTAAATCACATGTGATAAATATTAAAACACTCAAAGTAATAATTTTTAAGACTGAGTAATAGATTTGGGTTGTGATTTTGATTTTTTTCCTCTAAGTTTTTGCCGTGTACGCAGCACTGCGTGCGATATTGTGATTATGTCGAGAGTACAAGGGGGTTGCATCCGCGGTATAACCTTTTGTAACCTCCCTATAACTTTCTGTATCCTACCTGTACCCTAAAATAAGTTTCGCGCTTCTATCATCATATATTAATAATTTATTAGTAGGTTACACGTAAGTTATAGAATATTACAGGGAGGTTACAAGGGTTTATACCGCGGATGTAACCCCCTTGTACCCTCGGTATAACCCCAATATTGCACGCAGCGTTGTTTACGTCTATCGCACGCAAATTTTTTTCGCTATTCAGGTCCCTAAATCTGGGAAAATATTTGCGTACATAAGACATACGCAGCCCTGCGTACCTCCAGGGGTTATTCAGGGGGTACAGAGGGGTCATATTGGGGTTATACCCCTCTGTAACTCCCCTGTAACCTCTTTTTAAACTACCTGTAATCAACAAATGAGTTTCGCGCTTCTGTAGTTTCATGATTACAAATAAGTTACACGGAGGTTACAAGGGAGTTACACGGAGGTTACAGGGGGTATAACCCGGATATAACCCCCCTGTACCCCTTGAATAACCTCTGACGTACGCAACGCTGCGTACGTCTTATGTACGCAAATATTTTCCCTAAATCTGAAAGTAATATTTTTTTTTTAGAGTCTCAATTCTTTGGCATTTACTCATCTCACACTAAATTTTGGTTTTTACATCCAAAACACCCTTATTTATATAAATAATGTAATTCATATTTTTCATACATAGAAAAATATGTTTAGGTTGTGAAAATAAAAAAAATTAGGTGTGAGATCATAAACGCATGAGAATTGGGTGCTATTTAACTTTGCCGACCAGCTTCTTCACCAACGAGCCAGCGGGCAGGCACGAAGCTATGCTTCTGTCGTCCCCACTCCACTCCACTGATCGGCTCTGGCTTCTCCCCTCCAATTTCTTCTCAATCCATAGAGAACATCCTAACCCTCAATCCTTCCAACACTCCTCTCTTCTGCCCCCATCCATCACACGTCGTCGTGACCTCCGGATCTTCTGTCAGCGTACTAGCTCCAACGATGCCGCCGTCGGCATTGCTAAGCCGGATGATGGAGCTGATGAGATTGTCGTTGATGGAGTCGAAAGGGAGCAAACAAGCGTGGGGATTGGGAACCCTAACCCCTTTCAGCCACTTGTGATGTGCAGGATGAGTTTAGGGGATCGTGCCTTTTTCCTGCTCGCTTTTATTGCTTGCACGGTGATCATCTTCTCTTTAGAGATTTTGAGTGTTTTGTAAATAAATATTTAAAAAAAATTAAATATTAGATTTGAAGAATAATTTTATTGTATGTATGCGAATCTCCCAAAAAGAAAAAAGAGAATTTCGAAGCATGGTAGGCATGTAGGATTTAATCTTATTCTTTCAAACATACTATTGCCACTTTTGAATTACTTTGATTGTATCTGGAGTGAGTATTTGTGTTGTACCTCGTTTTTGCGATGTTGGATTGTAGAGGATTTCTCTAGTTTATTTGATCGAGCCTCACCCTCAATTCTTGTGTTCATCCTTCGGGATAGATACAGGATTTGAGGTAAAACGCTCTTTCATCTAAACTATGAAAATTATGGGGTCAGTTTGACTTCATCTTTTTCAAAAATAAATTTTTTTTAAGAAAAAAAACGTCCTTCCGAAGCGGGCAACGGGGTTTCAATTCTGATGACCGACAGCTTCTTACGGGCAAACCCCACACCAAAAATAATGCCGACAAACTTTAAAATTTCTTTCTTAATAACCTCTTTCATAACATGATTTAATCTCCTTTGTGGATCAACCCTGGGTTTGTAGTTTTCTTCCAGATTAATTCTATGCATGCAAATTGAAGGATTGATTCCTTTAATATCAGCAATTGTCCATCCGAAGGCTTTCTTAGAATTTTCAAAATTTTCATCAGCTTTTATTCTTCTTCCTTTGTTAACTTCGAGGAAATTATAACAGGTAAAGTAGAGGAATTTTCTAAAAAGGCATATTTTAAATGTTCAGGAAGTAATTTCAACTCAAGTTCTGGAGGTTTTTCAATAGATTTACAAAATGATTTATCTTTGACTATCGTGTCCAAAATTTCAAAACTTTCTTAAACATAACTTGAATCTTTTTTACAAAAATTTACACATTGATCTAATTCATCTTCTTGCTCGCTTCTTGCTCGTGTTTCAAATCTTCTTGCTCGTGTTTCAAATCTTTTTCTTCAGATGTTTCTTCATAAGTAGTCTTGAAGTAGCATTCGCTCGGATATCTTATAACATTCATTCTATAGCATTCATCATCTTTACCTTTTGCAGGGTATTTCATTGATTTTGAAATGTTAAAAGTAACAACTTGATCATTGACGCGCATTGTTAATTTCCCTTTCTGCACATCTATCATTGTTCATCCTGTGTCTAGGAAAGGCCTCACTAAAATAATAGGTATCTCTTTATCTTCCTCCATATCTAGCACAATGAAATCAATTGGAAAGATAAATTGATCCACTTTCACTAAGACATCTTCTAACTCCTTTAGGATAGGTTATTGAACGATCTGCTAACTGTAGAGTTACAGTGGTAGGGGTTATTTCTCCTAATCCCAATCTTTTAAATATTGATAATGACATAAGGTTAATGATTGCACCTAAATCACATAAAGCTTTCTCATTAAATTTGTCTCCTATTGCACATGGAATTGTAAAGCTAGCAGGATCTTTAAGCTTTTCAGGAAGTTTATTCTGAATTATAGCACTGCACTCCTCACTAAGTGCAACAGTCTCATTATCTTCAAACTTCCTTTTTCTGTTGAGAATATCCTTCATAAACTTTACATAGCTTGGCATTT